ATTGGATGCACAATGTACAATGTGTGAACACGGTGTGTGCTGTATGACCTCCAGACAGGACACCACCTCCACAGTACGAGCACGAAAGGACGAGGTGGTGGGGTGCTCTTGCGCTACTTTATGATGCTGCTCTCTGCATGAAAATACCAGGTCCCATGAGTGACCTGGTCACTTACCAACGACATTCCAACTGCACCCCGGTTTACTTGATCGCGACTATGACGGTGTGCTGTCGCCGCTGTGCATGCGTATGTGCCTGTGTATGTGTGTTCATGCATGTGTGTGCGTGTTTGCGTATATGTGTGTGTGCGCGCATGCATGGAACATGTGTTGTCTGTGTGTCTATCTGCACAGGTTGTGTTATGACATAGTACACTAAGGATCTGGAGAGGAACCACCAGAGACACTTCTGGCTCTCCAGTGACGGCCGAGAGCTCATCTGGAAGGAAGTGGAGTCGCGCTCCCGTCTAAGCAACATAACAGGTATGTGCCTATGTGGCGTTGTACATGCTGCTGGTAATATGAATCCGGCCTCTGTGTAGTGAGGGCCTGGGGTGAGTACTGCTTCTGCTGTTGCTGCTGCTACTGCTGCTGGTAGCCATACACTGCTTAGTGGCTGCTGCTGCTGCTAGAAAGTGCTGCTCTCTGCTCTTTGTTGCTGTTGCTGCATACCACCGCCGTGCATGCTGGTGACTTTCCTGAATAGCAGGCTCACGTTCTCCTGACCATGGATCCAAAGATCAGTGTTCACAGGCAATGATTCACGGGAATTGGGATACAGGGGTATGATGCCGTACACATGTATTGGTCCCAATCATGTAGCGGAGTACAGTGGTGCTGCAATTGGTGCACGAGTATGTAATGCGCCCTGTAGAGCACTCTCTGACATTTTTTTCCAGTTTTGAATCTCATGATATTCGTGTGATATGTGTGTGCAAATTTAAAATTTAAAGAAAAATGAAAAATAGCGATTCATTGGCCAGAAAAGCCACTTCAACCAGCCGTATGGTGTAGACCAGGCTAAATTAGTGGTGGTCAATTCATCAGCCTTGCAAGCTGTTGAATGGTGTAATCCCAGCACAAGTTGCTATGTCAATCATAGCGTGTTCGCTATCCGGCATCGCTTCGGCGATGGGCAGGTGTGTGTGTGTGTGTGTGTGTGTGTGTGTGTGTGTGTGTGCCAGCTAGTTCGGTTGGTCGGTACACTTATGCCAGATAGTGTTGGGTCTGTTGCCAACGGGCTCGGCTGCTTGAAGGTGTATTGTTGTACCTGCCACCTTTGTTGGTTGCAGGGTTCATATACTTTCTATTTGAAGTATACATACCTGTTAACCATGGGCTGCTTCTGGCTAGATTAACTCTTGTGTAATCAATGGTGCTAGTGAAGCTTATGTCAGATCCACGCACACTAGTAGCAAGTATTACCTTCACTGGGGGCAAGGGTAACTGCAGTTGGATCCCGGGACGGATACCCTGATGCCGTCAATCCTTTTTCTGCACTTTGTCCTCACCCACTTACTGAGGTGTGGTGAGCCCATAAGTGGGATCATTTTCAAGTCCACTCAGAGTTTTGGGGATTTCAGGGGGTGTAGGCCGTTGGGCGGTTCGATATCCGATTGAGTCATTTTTCCAAGATTCCTTTTGAGTCTCTCTCCCCTCTCCTGGGGAGACCCACGTGACCAGTTTTGGCAGTGAGCAACAAGTGTGTGTGTGTGTGTGTGAGTGTGTGTGTCCCATATGATGCAGTGGTATGTGCAGTCGATTTCCAATCGAGAGGTTGCGGATTCAATTCCCGACGATTATGGTCGCACACGTCTTTCTTCCCTTTCTCATTCTCCTAGCTCTTCTTTTATTCTCCTGGGTGGTTACCAACAGCCAGTGTATGCCGGAGTATGTGGTGTGGCGTGTGTGTGTAAAAAATATATATAAATGGAAAAAAATGAAAAATAGGGATTCACTGGCCAGGAAAAGCCACTTCAATCAGCTGTGTGGTGGATACCAGGCTAAAAATTAGTGGCGGTCAATTCATCAGCCTTGCAAGCTGTTGAATGGTGTAATCCCAGCACAAGTTGCTATGTTATTATATAACCCAATACTAGTTCAAAACTAGTATTAGATAAACCTTGTTATAGCTCACGCATATTGGTAGATTGACAGCATGAAACAAGGTGGAGGACACTGTGTTCGGAAACAGTGACCTTACTACAACCTTCCGCGGTTGGCAGAGCCCCGGTCACTGCGGTTGTAGTAAGGTCACTGTTTCGGAACACAGTGTCCTCCACCTTGTTTCATGCTGTCAATCTACCAATAAGTTGCAATATCTAACATAGCTGTTCGCTATCATCGCTTCCGCGATGGGCATGTGTGAGGTCTGAGGTGTGTGTGTGTGTGTGTGTGTGTGTGTGTGTGTGTGTGTGTGTGTGTGTGTGTGTGTGTGTGTGTTTGACTTTAACATAGTGGTGAAACGAGTATTCGAATATTCGTTCGGTTTGTCACGTTCGAGTATTCGTAACGTCACTTCGAATGCACTGCATGTACATGCATGCACGCCGAACACAGTAGAGTGCAGTGCGTATAGCCTGCCCTGTGATTTCGTACTGCATGCGCAGATGTATGCGCATACTGGACTGCCAATGTTGCACATAACATGTATGAACTTTGAAGTAGCCTTATGTGGCAGTACGTTTTATGTGGCACTACCGTTTGTCATGCCTAATAAAGTGTAATAATACTAGTGGCAATATCCAATCAAATGACAGAGAGGAGAGCATGACTTGTGATGTCACCTGTGTTGCCAAAGGAATATTCGTTTGCTCGTTAAGCCAAAGAAGCTTCGGCTACTGGGTTTTGATATTCGTTTCACCACTAGACTGTGTGTGTGTGTGTGCTTGTGTGTGCATGTGTATGAGTGTGTACATGTGTGTGTACATGCGCACGTGTGTGTTTGTGTGTGTGCGTGTACGCACGCGTGCAGGTTCTACTGTTCATAACCTCCGCTTGGCTGACGTAACGCGGATACACGCCAGTGGTCCACCAAGACTGGAAAGTGAGTAGCACAAGTAGGGAGTGGCTCATAGTTGTGTCCTTTGCACTATGACATGAATGTAACGAAGATGAAGTCATGGTGCAAGTTCGGTCTTCCATCTCCTTTCCCCTTTGTGCTTCCAAGTCTTCATCATAATTACGACATGATTGTGTCATCGTGTTGTGGATTCGGTGTGCGGTATGTACGGCTAACCAGCAGGTTACGGCCACTGTTATGCGTTTCAAGTCATCACCGGCGAACGAGCATTTGTGCTGGAAGCTGCCAACGTCAAGGATTATAACATGTAAGTGCTTGGCGCGTGCATGCGTACGCCGAGGAAATCTGCCACCAATTGAGTGCCATGCAACTGTTATTGTAATTCTGCAGGGTATGTACTAGTAACAGCCGCAGCTAGTCAAGTCTGACCTGCAGCAACCGATCAGCATTGTGCCCCCCTCCCAAGTGCAGTCGGACGGACCGCAGTGTTTCCAGCACTGGTGCATGGTAGCTTATCCACGGTGTTGATTTCGCTTGCTGCAGTCCTGCCTCTTGGTACTTGCACCTCCAGCCGCGTAGTGAATGTCAGCGGACGTGTGCTAATACAGTCGACCTACCCTTATAACGATATTTCCGTCAGACCAAGAAATATTTTTATAAGGGTAATATTGTTATAGGGGTAACTGGTTCATTTCATACACTTACGTCATAATGCATGGATTTCGTTCAAATTTTTACACTCTTCATAGCATAAAAACTGACGTACATGCACATTATGTACACAGTAAGGTGCCCACTGGTGCCCCCATTGCATTTCGTTATGTCCCAGCGACTTATCAAGTGAAGTTTGCAAAGCTTGCCCTACGTGGATAGTGGTCTCCCTGCTAGATATTGTTATAAAATGGAAAATGTCGATTGGTCAGCCCGTTTTATATCGTTATAGGGGTAATATCGTTATAGCAATATTGTTATAGAGGTAAGACAATGTATACACGAGTCAATGGATTGATTTGGTTTGGCAAAAAATATCGTTATAAGGGTAATATCGTTATAGAGGTTATCGTTATAAGGGTAGATCGACTGTATGGGCTTGCTGGTATTTCCTTATTGGAATGCAAAGCTACTTCAAAGGTTGGCGATGCTTGACATCTGCAAGGGAACAGGGCAACATAATTTGTCTATTGTTTCTATTGCTGTAGTGAGTTTGACTGTGCTTACAGTCTAGTGGTGGTGCATCAGTATAGAGTCAGTGGTTAGCGTACTAGTAGTTGATCATAAGCTTCCGACCATGCAATTGTGAGACATCTGTACAGATATTTTTTATTGCGGCATTTTTCCTGACACCTTGTATACATGCTGCAGCTGGACGGAAGGACTCGAGTGTGCTGTGTACGTCAGCCAAGCGCACCGAAACCTTCAGGGACGGCAGCTGGAAGATCGTGCAAGACGACACGCCAAGCGCTTGCGTGACAACCATCGGCAGATGATAGCGGATCGAGTGCAAGCGCGCCAAAAAGGAATGAAGAAGTCTGGCTAGATACTAGATAGCATAGCCGAACATGGTCAGGACCTTGTCACAGGTGTGTTTTGAAGGATTTCGGTCTTCCCAATGTGAGGAACCGCTATTCGGTCTTGTATGAATTAGGGTGTAGGAAACGTTCCTGGCGAGTCAATCGACTCGGTTTTCATTCAATACAAGTTGATAGTAGAGAATCCTATGGCTTGATACACACCAGTGGCAACAGCAGTGTCTTTCTTGACTCTTGAGATGTACCGGTCACATGCTCATGCTCCTCTGCATAAAAATGAGCTTGTAAATTAAAATTGGACAGAGTTTACGAAGTATTAGGGAGTTTGCGCTGTTGCAATGCTTCGAATTGATTTCTTGGACCCATCACAGTAACAGCATTGTTAGCATTTCAAAGTAAATTCATAGTCCGTTCCCCTGGCATATTCAGCTGGGTCGTGGTCGTGGTAGTCTTAGGGAAGTGGGTTTGATTACTTCACCATATTGCACTAGACTTTGCTGAACAATGGTGATAAAATAATAATTTAATGGTAATTGGCCTATATCTTTTCAGTAAAATGCATTTGCTGGTTAAGTTTGTATTCATTGCAACCACAATTTTAGTTGTAATATTTTGCCCTTGATACCAAGTCCAAGCATTAAGGCCGTGATCGTTTGATTCTGAAGGATCCGACGGATCTGAGATATGGATCTGGATCGAGTCATCAACCACCTCCAGATCACAACCTGCTCTTCATGGTAAAAGCCATAGTAGCATGGATTAGATTGGGGGTTTCTCCGGCCACCAGGGTGTTTTGTGGATCAGGATGTGCTAAAAAAGAAGAAGCTTACTACTCCTTGATTGTGATTGATAACACTTGGGTTGGATTTAAATTCAGGCCAATGAAAAAAGCACAATAAATATCAGAGAGCTGTACGATCCACAATGTGATGTGGGTTGTGTGACAAAATAATTCAGTTTTGTCACATCAGAGCCGGTACGCTCCAAGGGGATTCACAGTACGCGCAAAGGGGAGAACAGGAGCAGCTCCGGGGCTGCCTTAGGACGTAATCCTGACCACCATTGAATGCACATTTTAGAATGGCTGCTGAAACACCATCTTGTTTAGCACATGAGTCATGACCTTGACGGTCAGCTGCTCAACAGCACTACCTCTGCAGCATGCTCAAGCAGTGCAACAATCGTCCAGTCAGAGCTGCTCCAATGGTGCACAGAAGCGCGGTTGCCTTACTCTGCCTGAGCTGCAGCTTGGTTTGGCTGTTGTGTTGTGTCGGCTGCCGTTGGCTCCCCCACAGACTTGAAGTCGGCGAGTCTGAAGCAAGTATACGGGTATAGAAATGTTACAGTTGCAGTGAACAACATCGTGACTAGTGGAGGCAGTTTTTGATTGATCTGGCCCATACTGGCATAGTGTTTCCTGTATGATATGGAGGGTACTAGTACACACGACCTCCTCAGCAGCAAACACGTGTTGGTGGCCAGCAACTGGGTCCGGCCAGGGCTTGACGAAGCGGATTGATTCCGCTGGGCTTGCAAACTGCAGAACTGACTACTGTCCACTGGTTCTTACATAGCAAGAAGAGCAGCGTGGCAAGGGAATAGGGGTTATGCAAAATTGCAAAAGAGACCATGGTGGACAGCCTGCGGATTCGCGCTACGTATACAGCATGAATCAGATGAGCCAGTGCTGCAGCTTTCACACTGCACACAAAACGGTTCAGCTGATGGTGTAGGCAAATAGCCTCTACACTGAGGCCAAGCATAGCTGAAGGAAAGTTGTCTGCGGTGGACGGAAGTGCAAGAATGCAGATCTACCGACTTCGGCAGGTCCTTGATTCGCAGTCTGTATATCCTATGTCTTTGCCATTTTGTTGAAACAGCTCAGCTTTTGGCTACCCGTACACTAAAATCCCACAGCTCTATCGCTTTCTGACTTCTACTAGCCTACTTTGAAGTACTAGAAACAAATGAACACCTACATGTACGTTGAAAGGTGAAGACATCTACCCGTATTAGGAATGTAACAAACATTCAAATACCGTATTTCCCGAATGTAAGTCGCACATTTTTACACTGAACTTCAAGGGCAAAGAAGACTTACAATTTAGTAGGGGTCAAACGGGTGTTCCGGGTACCCGGGTACCCGCCCGTTAATCTCAGGTACCGTTAGTAAAAGGGTACCCGTTTGTAAAAAAAAAGAAAAAAAAGGTTGGATTTCGATGATCCTATCGTATGCCAAGACTCAAAATAGGAGTGCGGATACTCTTTTCCTTTTCCTGTGCATTCCCGCTTTCGACTTTGTCAGGCAGGAGCAGGCTGAAAGACAGCCGTTCTCTCCACTCTAGTCCAAGTAAAAATCCTCGTACTGGAGGTTTTTGATTGTAATGTGAGAAAATGCAAGACTTGAAACCGAGTCGTTCGAGGTGGCAGCTCAGTTACTAGAAAGTTACGATGGTTCTCCGACATCGACATCGAACCTGCCACAGTACTTGAAAATGAACTAGTGTCACCAGGCTGAGTGACCAGTCGGAGTGTCACACACGGTGATGTCGGTAGGTGGTAGCTATGATACTCATGGTTGTAGTTTGTTCCTTCAATCGACGAACTCGGTTCAGTTGAAAAGTTGTTCGAAATATTGCATACAAGATTACAGATTTGTAAAGATTCGTTTCACGAGTTCAACGAGCTAGCACTAGCAGCTAGCTGGCCAGCAGCACATCAGCTGTGTCAGGCACCCCAGCTAGCAATGGGTGCAAACATCTTCTGAATGGGAAGAGTACCAGTTCTCTGCGAACATATCAAACAGGATTGGGCGAGATCACGGGAGTTTTGCTAAACTATTCTGTCCTTGCATGGCTTGAATCACATCGATCTGCAGTTGATTTGCGTACATGTATCAAAATACATGTAGCACTTGAACCATGTACGATTGTAACTGCCTGTGAAGTTATGTACATGGGCAAATGTACGGATGACATTCATTTGGAACCTTCATTGCCATAATATTATCATGAGACACGAATAAATAGAATGCGAATCATAATGTGGTATCAAAATACAACCTGAGAATATACAAATTTAAATAATGATTTATGTGATAAATGCACACAAAAATAATATGGCTGCTAAAGGGTACCCGTTAACCCGCCCGTTAAGAAAATTACCCGTTCGTTAGTTAAAGGTACACCCGTTTGACCCCTACAATTTAGTGTGACTTTCTACTTATGTGAATGTATTGAAATAATTTGGCTCAGACCTGAAAATGGGTTGCGACTTATAATAGAGGAAATACAGTATTCAATTATTCGAATTTATTCAATCTAAAAAGTGCTCCCAACATTACTTGAATAGAAAATTCAAATTTGAAGGTTTGAAGATCACTGCATCTGTCGCATGATCGTGCTAAGATATACTCAAACGGCAAACATGACACTCCAAAGTACATGTTAGTGTCATATCACTAGACAAGGACGGAATGGCGCGGCATTGTTGCCACAGCAACCCGAATGGGTTAATGAATCGATGATGATGACATCACTAATAATTAATTAAAACAGCATTGACAGTCATGGGTGACAGCCATGGGTGGCAGTCATGGCCAGTGCAACTCCAGCTTACCTGGGAGATGGTACCCTCTCCTGGAGCATGGCGACCTCACAGTGCGGTGTGTGCGGAAACATGTCCACAGTGACTGCCTTGAGTGGCCTGAAGCCCATTGTATTGATTGCCCTGTTGGGATGTTTGCATAGGCTGTGTACATGGACAAACAGAACAAGCAACGCATTATACACTGCACTGTAAAGTCAACAAATATTCGGATATTCGCAGCATATTAATATTTATTTACAAGAGAGAGATTGGAAGCTTTGTTACAGCTCTGAGTTTCACGTATTACTACGATCATCAGGCAAGTTTGTGTACAAGGCTCTGCCCTACATGGGTATTGAGTAGGGCTGAAACGATTATACCAAATAATCGAGTACTCGTTTGATAACTCTAACGATCGAGCAATCGTTTAGATTACCGATTACGATTATTTTGCTTTTTTTTAATTTGTGTCCAGAAAGTACTGTAAACCCTCGTTTTGTGAAGTTTGAATCAGTTTCCGCTGGGAGTATGCAGTTGCCAGGGGTATGGTTCATGTTCTGAGGTTAAATTGACTTCGAAACTGCCATGTTTCGGAGCTACTCTTTCACTAATGCAGATTTGTTGGTATTATGAAGCCATAGTTTGTGGAAACATAGTAATGTTTGCACAGAATTGCTAACGATCATAATCGATTACTCGATCGTTAAGCTAAAGACTAATCGATACGTGAAAATCCAGGATCGTTTCAGCCCTAGTATTGAGCACTCTTCGGACAGTGAAGCAAACCACTTGACTGCATATTTTTTAACTTGACTTCCATCACACATCAGAAGATGCTTGCATTGTGCAAAGCGAGTAGAGTAAGCATGCAGCACCGCAAGGATACTTTCAGAACTATGGACCGCTGAAGACAGTCACGCCACCCGAGCAGTGAGGGTGATCGGCCTATAGTGCCCCATACTGTACAAGTCATGCAGGCCTCCGCTAATAGACCTTATGCACGTTGCACAGATGTACAGACTTCTGTACTGGGACCGTAGGTGTGTACAGACCCGGTTGAGTGTTCATTGTGTGCTATGCATGCACATTTGACCAATTTTAGCCTCATAATGAATGGCAAACAATCGCTTTTCCAGCTTCTTCACTTTGGTTAGAACTAATGACTAGCTAGATCTTTGTCAGAATTTTTCTTATGAAATGCCTTCAGGGCTCATTTCTTAGTGGAAATAGCAGTAAACACAATAGGGTCCTGCAAATTCAACACCCAACCGGGTCTACGGGATCTATGAGATTGTACGGGATTTCGTGCATCTGTACAACGCTACGTGTATATGGCTTATAAGACTCTTCACGTACGTTCAGGTGTGGAAAAGTTCAAACTGCAAAATGCACTACAAACCACCACTGCGTTTACTGTGCGAACACTCCACACCGATATCAAGAGTACATAAACCTCAAGACAGCAAGAGTGTGCAACTCCAGCTATGGGGTCTGCAAGGGCAGAACTTCACATCACGTGATGAACCCGTACACATGCTTTGCGCCCCGTGTATGACAGATACAGCTTTGGGTTCAACTCTCTTGTGGTCACTTTGCACTGTTTGCCAGCGTAACCGTTTGAACCATGTTTATAATATGCGATGTGAAGTTCTGCTGTGGTAGTACTGTATAGAGGTTGTGCAGGCAGTTGCACACTCTGGGGGGGGGGGGGGGTATGTACTCTTGCCAATATCAATATCATTGTCAACATCAGCATGAGCAAGAACTTACTACAATATGTTGTCCTTAAATTGCTTGAGGTTGCAGGCGACGAAGACAAGACGGTTCAGGGCAGAGGTCTTGCGAATGAGCTGGCACACATCCGGATCTAGATACGTCTGGTTGTGTGCATGTGAACACAAACATACGTGCACACGTATACACACACATGTACACACACATGCACGTACACACACACACACGCACACACGTACACACACATGTGCACACACAGACAAACAAATTAGGATCTGCCCGGTATGTCAACGAATCGTATTGAGTACTCGAGCACTCGTCCGTCAGCTAGGGTTATCGTTAGCGATTGTGCTCGATAAGAGATCGCTAGTGGTATGCGTCTACGCACGATCATTGCATGCCTGGAAAGTGTGTAAGTGCAGACTACTGACACTATTGATACTGTTACTGTACACCACTAGTACCGTACTGGTAATATATGTTGCCGCATAACGCGTAACGCAGGGGGGTGCGGCGTAACGCGCGACCAGGCTAGTGCGACAAATTTTCGTTGAGTTCATAACGCGCGTCCGGCGGGGTGCGGCGATCTTTTCATTGCAGTTTGCACTGCAAAAAAAGGCTGAAAACTGTGAAAGCACGTGTACCGCGTGGTGAAAAGTTCAAAACTGGACGCAGCAGGAAGTCCTGACACTCGAAGGCGCATCATTCAGTGGTTGGCGATCTCAATGGTTTCTTCTTTCCCGAGGTCGTTTTGCACTCTGATAGTTAAAATATACAGTCTTCTATTGATATCGTTGTCGCCCTTTGCCGTCGGGTTTGTAACAGTTGGATAGCAACTGAATTTCTGTGCCTTCAATGTGGATGAAAAGAAAAAGTGATGCGGCAAAAGCAAAAAAAGTGATGCGGCAATAGCAAAAAAGTGATGCGGCAATAGCAAAAAAAGGACTGCGGCAATATAGAAACCTGTGTAACGGCTCCTGTGCGACTTTGCATGTAACGCCCTGCGTGCGGCAAACATGTGCCAATGTAACGCTTCATGGCCTCACTGCGGCAACATATATTGCCAGTACGGTATTAGACACCCTTAGGGGCCATCCGTAATTATCGATCTTTTTCACGAAACGAAAAAGTTTAGTTATGACCCACCCCCACCCACCCACCCCCCTGAAACGAAAAAATTAATTGACTTGGGACTTTGTGCAGAAAATGATCTTGATTGGCTGTTACAACACAGCGAGGCCACATTTTGTGTGATTGTGCAAGTAAGTAACAACGTTAGTTATCATGGTTATGTTTTCTTGGAAGTCTGGTACTACTTCTTGACCATGGAAACATTTATTTTCACCTACCACACACATACGCTGCTGGCACCTCTACGTCTAAACACGGGAATTGTACACTTGCAAATCGTCAGAGTTCCGACATTGACATGATACTGCCAAAACAAGTCGACTTCGGAGCGGAAACAAAAGCCATAGCTATCACAGACTTCAGTGGTCGTGCCTCGCTCGCAAATGAGAGCAGCATCGCCCCAGAATCTCAGTCTGAAAGCTCCCTAAGGTCGCACGCACGTCGCGCTGCGCTGCCGTCAATCAGGTACGTAGAAAGTCGATGGCCTAATTTTCCGTCTCTGGAAGACTGTCGACACGGGGATCACTCTCCATGGCTTCCCCACCACAAGCACGATCAGATTCTTCCAGGTACATTACGACGACATCGTCTTCAGCGGCTGGCGCTCCCCATATTTGCGTGAGAATTTACTTGGCGTGCGCCCCGCTCCGTAATTTGAAATTCTCTTGCATCGGCGGCTGGAACGAAGTATTTATCTATCTGTCGTCGGTCCCAGAGTGAATGATCATGATGACTGCTAGGTCCTCGTCGGAGAAGTCATCCGAGGACGAAAGGAACCCACTGCACCGAGTACAGAGAGGTATCACTGCATCCATGCAGCACTTGCTTGGCCGCGCGACGTGGACTAGAGTCTACTGTCGATCTACTTCGATGTACACAATGATTATGTATGCATGGATCAATGCATGCAGTGAGCGTTGATTTTTCCGCTTTCGATGTTTTTTCAAAACGAAACCGGTCGCTACCCACCCATGGCCCACCCATAAACGAAACTTTTTCGTTTCGTGAAAAAGATCGATAATTACGGATGGCCCCTTCACGGCTGTTCATATGATCACGTCAGCGGACATCTAAGATGGCGTCGGCTTTGAGCATGAGTAATTCGAAAATTCTGCCCGAGATACGCATTTTCCTAAACTTATCGTAACAATCGATGGTATCTTGGGCTTCCTTCGAGGCTGTTGACCAGTAACTCGCGTTTTTCCAGAAGAGGAAGGACAGAGCAGTCGTTTGCCACCTCACTCGACGACGAGCGTCGTTTTGGTCCGGATCGTCGAAGAGAAATATAAAAAAATTATCGTCGTAGCTATTGTTGTATATTTTAGTGTAGCCGTTGTTCCTGCTCCTACAGAAGCGTCCCTGGAGTTTTCTCCTGCTTTCGGTGAGTTTTCCTGGTTGGCCCAAGGCTTCGACCATCCGATAAACATAAATTCGTGAGCGGAAGTTCGTACATTTTTTTGGAAGTTCGTCGAGATGTTTATGCACTTTGTGTGATTTTCAGGTGTCCATGGATGGTCATCAGGAAATCCTGGCATCAGTATGTCGGGTCGGTGGCCTGAAATTTGCTGATTTGCCACGCAGCACAAAATACGTTGCTTCTGAGCATAAAAGTGGCCTGAAGGGCATGTGTGTGGATATTGCTGAGGACTTGCCAGAGGTGCATCCAGCATATATATGTAGAGCGTGCATGACAGCTGCATGCAATGTAGCAAGTGGTGGCAAATTCTGTGGCGGAGGTTGTGGGGAAAGCGTTGCCTGGACGCCTCACACAGGTACGCAGTGTGCCATATGCATTAAATACGGGAAGAGATCCATGGGTGGCAGGCCCCCTAAGCGGAAGCCTGGCCGTGAATGTAGTGGCGTCTTCCTTAAGAGTAAGAAACCTTCGCCAACAAGTTCTATTGCCATGACACCGAATACACAAAGTGCAACACCTACTATCACCATAACCACTGCTGCTGCTGCTGCTGCTACTACCACAACTGCACAGCGTTCAGCAACAACCACCACCGTCCTTCGACCAAAAACACCGCCGCTCACCCAGTCCCTCACGCCGGGCGCAACCGTTGCCCAAATCCTTGGTGCCTCACCATCTAAGCTACAAGGGGATGTTGCAGACAGATTGGTGGGGCACCTAGTGAAGGCTAGAGAACATCATGGGTCGCTCGAAGTTCGTGCTACTGCCCATGGGAGGCCACATGTATACAGAAAAATACCGGTGGGAGAGGTATCTTCGTCGAATGCGAGCGACCGCACAAAACGAAGGAGGGCATCTGAATTGCATGCCATAAGTAAGTACATGCGCACTTATTTTGCCAATACCGTCGTGCACGGTATTAACCATGAAATGATGCACAGTATTATCGGTACTAGTAGTTCATATACCGGTATTCATTTTTGCCAAGACCGTCGTGCACGGTATCAAGTTCAACCATGAAATCATGCACAGTATTACTAGTCGCTATGCGAGGCAACAACAGACGTTACGTTTCGAGCATGCACACCAACTCAATAATGCCTTCCAACTGTGTGTGCGCATGCAGGTGAGACCATTTGTGTCGGCGCATCTGGGAGAGAGGCACAGGCTGCAGCAAATCTTGCAGCTATGCCCAAGGCACAGCAAACAGATCTGCTGCAAACAGCTGGTGTAGAGCCGTTGTCTCCACCACCTGGCCTGGCATTGGCAATTAAAGCCGACTTGAAATTGCCCTGGAATCAGCTACGCAAGCTGAAATCCATTTTGTCATCGTCCTGTGGATTTAAGCTGGAGTGCGAGAAGTCTCTTCGGTCCACATTGTCCAGTGTCTTGCCAGAATACGTGGCATCCACAGTGAAGATGATTCAACACAAGACCGGTGCCATAGAAGACACCACCATTGTATACCTCCCCGATCTTCTCGCCACGGTCAAGCAGTACCTGCAGTTGTACGAAACCAACAACATGCTGACCTGGCACGGCAATGCCATACCACCGGACAAGATCTACGTGAAGATCGGAGGAGATCACGGAGGAGGCTCCTTCAAATTCGTGATGCAGGTAATCTGTCAAGCACTATTATCCACATCAAGCAATTACTCCAAGAATTTCAACAATCTAATATGATGAGATTGAAGGCAAATTATGCTGTATGTACAGCAGTCTTCCTATGAAACAAATCACAAGCAATGCAGCACACTCAGACACTGTCGGTATGCAATGTGTTCTGCGTGATGCTTTGGACAGATTGCCAACGTTCAACACCCAAATTCACTTGACCACACCATTCCGCTGTGCATCTTCCAAGCCAAGGACACTCCGGCAAATTTGGAGACTGCTCTAGGTAAGACAGAGTCTGAAAAAAGCAAGATAAGCATTTTCATCACCTCGGTGCCACACACTGACGACTTGAAAATGTAATGCATGGAGTTATTTAAAATATAAAATAAGCACCAATAGCAAAAATACGTTGTACTTCTTATTGTTCTACATGTATTAGGTATCTACCGAGAACAAATTCAGAGTGTCGCGGAGAGTGCTCAGTGGAACGGCAAGAAATTCGTCATCTTTTTGTTCGGGGACTATGAGTTTGAAACCACCAACTACGGACTGTCGGGCTCAAGTGGAGTGCGGCCCTGCTTGCACTGCCACTGTCCGAAGAAGATGATGGATGTACCACCTGCTGAAGTGTCAGACGAGGACAAACAGCCACGTACCTTGCAGACCCTCAAGGACGATCTTAGCGCTTTCGTTGCTGCTGGCTCGCGGCTGTCGCTCGCCAAAACGTACAACAACGTTATCCGGGCCCCAATTCTGCCCGTAGAGATCAGCCATGCCATTCTGCCAGTGTTGCATCTAGACTTGGGGATCTATTCCTGGATCTACGAGGCAATGCTGGCAGAGGTGCGCCAGCTTGATAAGAGCTTGATTAGCAAAACGCCAGCTTCAACTACCGACAGCACGCAGTTCACAGCATTGGTCGCGCTGCATGCCAAGCTGCAGCAGTGCACAGTCGAAGCAGAAGCAGCCGTACAGAAGGCCACAACCATTGAAGGCCAGCTCAGCTATGTGGCTCTGCACGGCCATGAGCAAGGCGTCACTGGCCACAACTTGGAGGTGGTATGTGACCAAATTCAGCAGGACTGGCAGGCAGCTTTGCGCGCACAGACTGACGCTGCGCAGCTGCTGAAGAGCGTTCAGCAGCAGTTCGACAAAGAGTCTGGCGGGAAGTCTGTTGCTGGCCCATGCGAGCGCAGCGTTGAAGCAGCTCTGCAGGCAGCCAACATGACGCGTCAGGCATATCACGGCGGCGCGTTTGTTGGCAATCATGTCCATCAGGGTCTGAAGGATCCAACATCGAAAAACATCACGTCTGCGCCTGTAGCCATTATTGAAGCCAGATGTCCGGATCTGCTGGCAGATGCACAGGCTCTCGGAACACGGTTTTACAACCTGGTCCTTGGTTACAGCAAGTGCTCAGCTGCATTTGGTCATTGCCGCACGGTGAGTTCCGCATACATGATGTGTACTTATTGTGCACAAACACAGTTCATTCCTCAGTTTAGCAATGCATGTATACAGCCTCTAGCACAGATACTGATACGCATTGCCTGCTTGTCCTGGAATATTGAAGTGCGAATGGATGTGCTCGCATACTTATTACTATACTGTCTGAGATCAGGCATGCTGGCGACACTGATGATTTCAGATGGCGGATTGTTGCCGACTCTGTCTCACAGAAATTCAGACTAACACTGTTTATTCAAATCCATGGTGTTCTGCAGGTAAATGATGAGGAGATAGCAGAGCTGAGCAGCAACATCGAGCACTTCATGAAGCTCGTACGAGATGAGATTGTGAGCAGGCAGAAGGGGCACGTAACACCCAAGCTGCACCTGTTAGAGCTTCATGTCGTGCCAGCTATGACGCGACTCCGTGTTGGCCTTGGCTTGCTAGCTGAGCAAGGCTCAGAGAGCATACACGCCGAATACAACTCCCTAGAGAGGCGGTTCTGGCAGATTCCTGAGCCCGTGAAACGGCTAAAGGCAATCGCCACGCAGCACCTCACGAGAACGCTGCCCAGGTCTAGGCCACTCCGTCGCCGCAGCTAATTCGTAGCTCACTGGCTCCATGATCATGTAAATATTTATTGACTCTCCAGGTCCGTTCAAGTCAGATCAGTTCTTCTTCGTTCTGGCGATCTCGTTGTTGTGTTGCAGTATTTTATTTTAGCTTCCAGTGTTGGTGTTCCATGCATGGCCACTT